AATGTAGATTTTCAAAACCCCTATATTCTGATTTCATAAAATATATAGAATTAAGAAATTAAGCATCATTATTTTATAGTATTCATTATGAGTAAGTTATACTTTTGTGCACCTTATGAATCATCGAAAATACTAAAAGCTCTTCCCTTAGTTTCAAATATCTGAGCATTCTTTTTAAGGCTCTTCAGTATCTCATAGAAACAGAAGGACAGGTCATCCAGTACGATAGAATTTTTGAGATTTTTAGCTACAGTACTGACTGTGCACTTCTCACAAAGCACCATCGCATCCTTTTTAAATGGATGAAGATGTTTTGCCACACAATCTCTACAGATTGAATGGCCACATTAAAGCATAAGTGGTCTGTCAATATGTGTCAAGCAACTTAAGCATTGCATAATTTCTGCAATCTTGAATAAGAAGGAGTTTAAGCTATCTATATTAGCTTTAATCTCGGATATAAAGTCATTTCTTCTTCTAATGTCTTAATTATTCTAATCTATCTGCTACAATAACTCCTACTTCTAAGTTTCAAGATTGAACTTTTCATGTGTTAAGTTCTCTAATCTTTGGCTTAACTCTTCCTATTACTGAAGTAGTTCCGATTACTTCTATTTCTCTTATGCTATTTATACGGTCTATTCATGAACTATTCTTTTAAATTCTGACTGTGAAGCCTCTTTAGCCTCCTCTGAAATCAAATGGAAAGCAGCAAGTCCATTCATTGATATTTAACCATTAGGACCTATGCCATTCCTAAGTTCTGCCATCTCCTACATCTTAACTAAGTATTCATTTTCAGCTACATCTTTGTCTTCTTTTGCTTAGCCTAGCTCTCTTGTCATTTTTGTAATATCCTTTTTCAGTTTTATATTAGTTTCGTTTATCTTAAACTAATTCATCTTCATATCATCAAATTGTCTAGCAAGGTCAGTATATTATGTAACTAGCCTATTATTTTCACCTCTAAAAGTTTAATTTACTTCCTTCACTAATTTTAGCTCATTCGTTATGAAATCAATATGTTCTTATAGATTTTCTTTCAAAGTTCTAGCATCATGGTACTATTCATTCATATCTTTGATATCATCAAGTAGCTCCTACTCTCTTTTCTAGCCATCTTCCTTTACAGTTCTAAGTTCAGCTAGCAGATTCACCTAGTTTTATTCATGCTATTATCTCTCCTTGGTCCACTCCTCTTCTCTCTTTTTCAAATCTCTCTCATTTTTCTGGATTATCTTTTTATAAAGATCAACGTCATTCTCCAATCTGTTAATTCTTGCTTGCATTCTATCGAAGTCAGTGGTACCTGGTTTAAATCCTTTCGCATTGTTTATTATCTCCTCACAAGCTTGGTATTTAGTCATCAGATCATTGAACTCTTTAATTTTAAATTCGATAGTTTCGTCTCTTTCTTGAATTTCTTTGTTTTTGTAACTGACCAGTTCCTCATTATCTTTTATGATTTTCTCCATTTTTTCATTCAAATGCTCAATATGATTCTCGAAATTCTTTTTTATTGCTCCCACATCGTTTCTGGTTTATTCCTCTTTCATTTTAATTTCTAAGTTGTCACTTGAAAGTTTGATGATTTACTTTTCGCAATCTTAAATATAGGACTGAAGCTGAATTATTTTTCTCTCATTCGCATTGGCTTTATCAGTCTACTTTTCTAATTCAGTTATTACATTTCTTTTCTCACTAACCTCGACACCATAGCTAAATCTCAACCTTTTAAGCTCTTCTTAAAGAGCTCGATACTACTTTAGCAGTTCAGCATATTAGGACTTATATTGAGTTATCTGAGACTTTTACTTATCAATAGTTAATTTATCATCCTCACAAAGATCATGCAATTTAACGAAATTTTTCTTAATAATTTTAACCTCTTTTTCCGCAAGTGACTCCTTCTTTTACTCGCTTGTATTATTAGGATCCTCCTCATTTATGAAGTTTTACTACTCTTCTATAGAATTATTGGATTTTATCCTGTGGTGCATCATTATTTTAGCGTCAAAACCCTAGTAATGTTTTTTACTGTTCTGTGTAGTTTATGGTCTCATGCCAATGTTTGAAATATGCTTCAAAGATTTGAATAAGTTATTGGTAGAATTCATGTTTATTAATACATTAGATTGCTGGGGTATACTCTCAATAGAGTTCATGGCTCTGTTAGAGTCATTTATGTTTTAATTATATGCACTCTAAGTGCTTTGATGAGAGGTTCTCTTTCTGAAATGACCTGAAGAATTAATATTATTTCTCAAAGGATTGGTTTCATTCGTTTTTTTGTCTGGAGGTGAGTTTCTTACTCCTTTAGCAGCTTTATAGAAAGCCAAGTCAGGTATTTTAAGGAGGAGTGGGTCAAATGCTTCTTCTTTATTTTTAGATTTTGAATGTGTATTCCAGTTTGATCTTGTCATATTAATTACTACTCTTTTTCGTTTGCTTAGAGCCGAGTTTCCTATTATTGTATGACTTGTTTGAGCTCTCATGTTGCTTATGTTATTATTGCTCATTATATTTGGGTGCATTATTGTATCCATACTTGGATTAGCATCGTTATTTGTCTGTGTATTAGTCCTAAATTCATTAGTTATCTTGTTCTTTCCTTAATAGTCTGTCGATAAAGCCTCATCATAAACGTTTTTTAGATAGATAGATGATAAGACTCCGCTAGGTTTTCTTGTAGATAAATTTGTACTCATTTTAATTTATTTACTACCCAATCGATTTTAATCATTATTCTATAGAAAGGGGTTTTGGGGTTTTGGGG